AAACGAGGCAGGGGTAGGCCCAGTACTACCTACTTAGGGAACCTAAACAAATGGGTAACAGGGAAAGGTCAGGGAAACGTAACTTTTTTTTAGAGCATCCGAGGAAAGGAATGAATGGAAAACCATGATCGCCGATGTCTGTTGCAGATCTGGCACTGGATGATGATGATGATTTTATTACCTGTTTGTCAACTTGCTACCTACAACCCGCTTACCAAATCATACCTGCCAGGGTACTGTCTACCTACTTAGGTCCTCTCTTCACTTGTCTTGGCCCGCTACAATAGGCTCATACTAACAACCCAGCCTGCACAAAGATATGGGCACCACATGGGCCCAAGATGGGCTTGGATTTGGGCACCATCTGGTATTGCAGCACTGCGCCACCTTCGCAGAGACTGTGCCCACCATTTTGGAACTTCACTGTGACATTAAAGATGGTTCCAGGAGGGAACGGGATAGCAGGTGCCCACATCCCTCGAGACTCATCAGAGCAGAGGAAGATAGGGGGGACTGTTGCTTTTTCTTTCCTCATCCTTACCATCGCCATTTTTTTCTCTACTTCTTTGTATTTTTGTCACTCTCTTATGAACTGCTATTTCCGGGGTGCCTTTATAGTTGAAGCTGACTTTGTGCTGTTGAGGTAAAGAGGTGAGCAGAGTAAGCCCGATTCCCCGTTTGGACTTCTCTGTTGACATCCACCCCTTGACGCTCATATGACCTTATGCAGTTGCGAGTGCCGTAAAACCTTATTAAAACTAACTAAAACACATTGTGTATTCACGACTACTTACCCATGTAAAAATCCGAGGAAACAAGCAGGTCAATCTTCTGGCGACAGAATCCTTGTCCCTCGTGTTGGGATTAACGGAGAAGCGCGTCCCGCCGACTGACTAGACAAATCAGGTGACAAACTACACTCCCTATTCAAACATGTGGGAGGAACGCTGGAGCCAACAACTGAACAACAAACGCCACAAGAACATAATGCCCAAATTGGACTCACGAAAACCATCGTGTCTCTCCAGAAAAGACCAAGTTATTTCAACTAAATCTAGATTTTGATTACGTATTGGACATACCGTCACATACCTCCCTGACACATAAATAGCCGTTGCAGGGAGCACAAGAACCTTTCTGTATACATCGGATGTGATACCGATGTTACTATCAGGCACACAGATCTACTATAAGTACAAGAATGTGTCCTAACCTGGGAGAGACATCAAGGAAATATTTTAAACGAACAAATTTAAAGAACACCTTTTTTGTTGTTGATTGAAGAAGAATTGTTAATTTTAAAATGGGGTCTTGCATTTTTAATATTAAGTTCTTGACGATCTATAGACTTGACAGCCGTAGTCAAGCCTGCGGATCAGACATGGGAACAGTAAAGGGGAGGATAAGATAAGATTTTTAAAAGCATTTAAAGCTTTTTTTGTTCCTCACACGAACACACGAAGATATTTAAAACATGAGGTGAAATGAAAATGTTACTTTTTTTTTGGTCAAAGATAATTCCGAGGAAACAAGCCTGGTTCTGGACGGGAATCCTTTCCCCATACAATGTCAAATCTGATTACAGAACACGTCTGCTGGATCGGCACAAGAACAGTGCGACCATCATGGGCGGGGAAAACTTGAAACTGTTTCCATTGGCCCACTTTTCTAGTTTAATCCTATCCGTACGTCTGGGGTCACTTTGTACCCCCAGGGTTGTATTCTTCACATTTTAAAATACTTCTAGAGCGAAGATCTCTTTGAAACTTTCAGTATTTCTCAAAAAATAATTTCGATAGACTGCTATGCAAAGCGTACGGATCGGATTAACGAGTAAATTTCCTCTTTGGAAAGTGGGGGCACAGAGTTCCTCACGTCGTATGGATACGATAGTAAAACACGATGACGGATAGGGTTAAGCGGTGGCACAGAGTTCCCCACGTCGTATGGATACGATAGTAAAACACGATGTACGGATAGGGTTAATCAGCTGCGTCTGCAACTGTCTTTCCATAGATGTTACCTCAGAAAAACAAACTTAAGAAACTGTTTGTTTTTGTGGAATTACTTTATTAATATTTTCCGTTATAAAAAAATACATGAAAGAAATGAATATGATACCGGTATGGTCAAGATTGGATAAAAAAAGCAGATATTCAGTGTTATGGTCTTCGCCAAGTGCTACCAGGCTACAAATACGGAGATATTTGATTAGAAACAAACAAACTAACAACCAAAAATCAAAACTAACCCAACAACAACCCCCTCCCCCCAAAAAACAACAGACAAACACCAAAAAATATCAACTCAAATTAAAACAATGCATAACAAAAAAACCCCAAACCAAACCAAAAACAAAGCATTCCCATAAAGATTTTAAAAAACATCACATACATGTACATGCAAAAAGTAGCATATATATACATGTGTTCGGTTAAACGTATTCTTTGGCTGATCATGTGACCAACTGTGTGTGCTGTACAAACTGTCCAGGAAAGGAATGTCTCTGTTGAATGGAAAGAAGGGATAACAAAATTCACAGAAAGTTGTGAAAATTAGGTACACGATTTTCTAGATGTCCGTGACTTTCAGAAATGAATCAGTTGACAAGTGCTCCCTTTAGCTTTAGTAAGAGTTTTACGGCACTTGCAAGTGCTCCCTCTCTTGATTGGTCAGCGTCATTTCCGGTATCACTTGAGACGCCATAATCCGCCAAACCTGAAAAGAATGAAGTAAGTACTCTGTCAGTGATGAAGGAAGTAAGTTAGTACTCTGTCAGTGATGAAGGAAGTAAGTAAGTACTCTGTCACTGATGAAGTAAGTAAGTAAGTACTCTGTCACTGATGAAGTAAGTAAGTATTCTGTCACTGATGAAGTAAGTAAGTTAGTACTCTGTCAGTGATGGAGTAAGTAAGTA